CGTAATCTATCACATAAACAAAACCAAAGACAAAAACCACATGATTATTTCAATAGATGCAGAAAAGGCCTTTGACAAAATTCAACAGCCCTTCATGCTAAAAACTCTCAATAAACTAGGTGTTGATGGAATGTATCTCAAAATAATCAGAGCTATTTTTGGAAAACCCACAGCCAAATATCATACTGAATGGGCAAAACCTGGAAGCATTCCCTTTGAAAAGTGGCACAAGACAGGGATGCCCTCTCTCACCACTTCTATTCAACATAGTGTTGGAAGTTCTGACCAGGGCAACCAGGCAAGAGAAAGAAATAAAGGGTATTCAATTAGGAAAAGAGGAAATCAAATTGTCCCTGTTTGCAGATGACATGATTGTATATTTAGAAAACCCCATCGTCTCAGCCCCAAATCTCCTTAGGCTGATAAGCAACTTCAGCAAAGTCTCAGGATACAAAATCAATGTGCAAAAATCACAAGCATTCCTATACACCAATAACAGACAAACAGAGAGCCAAATCATGAATGAACCCCCATTCACAACTGCTTCAAAGAGAATAAAATACCTAGGAATCCAACTTACAAGGGATGTAAAGGACCTCTTTAAGGAGAACTACAAACCACTGCTCAATAAAATAAAAGAGGACACAAACAAATGGAAGAATATCCCATGCTCATGGATAGGAAGAATCAATATTGTGAAAATGGCCATACTCCCCAAGGTTATTTATAGATTCAACGTCATCCCCATCAAGCTACCAATGACTCTCTTCACAGAATTGGAATAAAACTAACGTTCATATGGAACCAAAAAAGAGCCCACATTGCCAAGACAGTCCTAAGCAAAAATAACAAAGCTCAAAGTTCATGTCCTTTGCAGGGGCATAGATGAAACTGGAAACCATCAATTTCAGCAAACTATCACAAGGACAGAAAACCAAACAGCACATGTTCTCACTCATAGGTGGGAATTGAACAATGAGCTTTGACATAGGGGAACATCACACACTGGGGCCTGTCATGGGGTCGAGGGATGTAGCAGGGAAAGCATTAGGAGAAATACCTAATGTAAATAACGACTTAATTAGTGCAGCAAACCAACATGTCACATGTATACATATGTAACAAACCTGCTCATTGTGCACATGTACCCTAGAACTTAACGTATAATAATAGCAATAAAATATGTAAATTGAAACATCAACAAGTAAAAATGTGGGGGCATGGAGCCAAAGTGTAGAGATTTTTGTTTATCATTTTCTTTGTGATCTAAGTTGTTATCAGTTTAAAGTTACTGTAATTACAAGATAATTACTTATAACTATAAGATACTTTTTGTATACTTCATGGTAACAAGAAAAGAAAAGCCTATAATAAACTAACAATAGAAAAGCAAGAGTTCAAAGCATACAACTAGAGAAAATTACTTAATCACAAAGGAAGACAGTAAGAAAGGAAAAAAGACAGGAGTTAAACAATTAGAAAACAAGTAACAACCTGGCAGTAGTAACTCCTTGCTTATCAATATAGCAGGAGGATATAACAATTGTAAATATATATGCACCTAACACTGGTGCACCTTAATATATAAATCAAATATTTACAACCTAAAAGGAGAGGTCAACTGCAATACTATAATAATAGGGGACTTCAACACCCAATTTTCAGCAATAAACAGATCAATCAGATAGGAAATCAACAAAGAAACATTAGAATTCAACTGCACTCTAGACCATATGGACCTCACAGATATTTACAGAACATTCTACCAAAGAAGTTCAGATTGAACATTTTCCTCAATAGTATATGAAACATTCTCCAAAATAGACCACATTTTAGGCCACAACCAAATTTTAACAAAGAAATCTACAGAACCAGTGCAATCCCTATTGAAATACTAATGACATTCTCCACAGAAATAGAAAAAAAAAATCCTAAATTTGTATGGAAAGGCACATGACCCCAAATAGGCAAGGCAATATTGAACAAAAAGAACAAAGCTGGAAGCATCACACTACCTGACTTCATAATACACTATAAGATATTGTAACCCAAGCAGCATGGTACTGGCATGAAAACAGACATATAGACCAACAGAACAGAATACAGAACCCCATAAATAAACTCATGCTTTACAGTCAACTGATTTTTGACAAAGATCCCAAGAATACATTGGGGAAAGGACAGTCTCTTCAATAAATTGTACTGGGAAAACTGAATATCTACATGCAGAAGAATGAAACTTGACCCTTATCTCTTACAATACACAAAATTCAACTCTAAATGGATTAAAACAATTAAATGTAAGACCTGAAACTGTGAAATTAGTAGAAGAAAACATAGGAGAAATGCAATATGAAACTGAACTTGGCAAGAATACTTTTGAATTAGACCTCAAAAGCATAGGCTACAAAAGCAAAAATAGACAATGGGATTACATCAAACTAAAATTCTTCTGCACAGCAAAGGAAAGAATCAACAGAGTGATGGGACAACCTACAGAATGGGAGAGAGTATTTGCCAACTATGCATTTGACAAGGGATTAGTAACCAGAATATATAAGGAACTCAAACAATTCAATAGAAAACAAAAAATCTGATTTAAAAATGGACAAAAGACCTGAATAAACATGTATCAAAAGAAGATATACACATGGCCAACAGATATATGAAAATATGCTTAGCATTACTAATTTTGAAGAAAATACAAATCAAAATCACAATGTGATATCATCTAATCCCAGTTAGAATGGCTATCATCAAAAAGACAAAAAATAACACATGCTGATGTGAATGTGAGGAAAAGGGACTCATTTGCACTGTTTATTGGTATGTAAATTACTGTGCAGCCATTATGGAAAACGATATAGTGGTTTCCCAAAACATTAAAAATAGAACTACCACATGATTCAACAATTCCATTACTGGGTATATATTTAAAGGAAATGAAATCAGTATGTCAAGGAGATAGCCACATTCTTATGTTTATTGTGGCACTACTCAAAATAGCCAAAGTACGAAATCAACCTAAATGCCCTCTACAGATGAATGGATAAAGACATTTTGGTACATACATAGAATAGAATACTGTTCAGTCACAAAACAGAATAAAATTCTGTAATTTGCAGCAACAATAGTGAATTAGGAGGACATTACATTAAGTGAAGTAAGCCAGCTACAGAAAGACAGCATCACATGGTCTCACTCATGTGGATTCTAAAAAAGTGAATTTAATAGAAGTAGAGTGTAGAATAGTGGTTACCAAATGCTGGAGATGGTAGGAGGGAGGGGAAGATCAAGAGAGGTTGGTCAATGAATATAAAGTTACAGTTAAAAAAGAATAAGTTTTCATGTTCTATTACACAGTAGGGTGACTATAGTTAATAGAAAGGTAGTGTATATTTCAAGATAGCCAGAAGTGACTTTTTTGGGTTTTTTTGAGACGGAGTCTTGCTCTTGTTGTGCAGGCTGGAGGGCAATGGCGTGATCTCAGCTCACTGCAAACTCCACCTCCCAGGTTCAAGTGATTCTCCTGCCTCAGCCTCTTGAGTAGCTGGGATTACAGGTGCCCACCACCACACCTGGCTAATTTTCTTATTTTTAGTAGAGACAGGGTTTCACCATATTGGCCGGGCTGGTCTCGAACTCCTCACCTCAGGTGATCCACCTGCCTTGGCCTTCCAAAGTGCTGGGACTGTAGACGTGAGCCATCGTGCCTGGCCCAGAAGTGAAGATTTTGAATGTTAATACCCCAAATAAATGATAAATGTTTAAAGTGATGTATATAGTAATTACCCTAATTTGATCATAATATGATGTATACATGCATTGAAACCTCACACTACACTCCATAAATATGCATGATTATTGTGTCAAGTGTAAATAAAAACTAATAAAAAAATAAAAGCATTGAACTCTCTTTTAAAAAAAATTAACTTCAATTATATAAATGGATACTGGAAAATCTCTAGGCTTTAAGATATTACCATCTTCTGGTCATCAAGGTTAGAAAAGTTATCTATTTTGGAGCCAGGCACGATGGCTCACGTCTGCTATCCCAGCACTTTGGGAGGCCTAGGTGGGCAGAACACTTGAGGCCAGGAGTTTGAGACCAGTCCGGCCAACATGGTGAAAACCTGTCTGTACCTAAATAAATAAATAAATACATACATACATACATAAATACATAAATAAATAAGTAAGCCGGGTATGGTGGTGGGTGTCTGTAATACCATCTACTCAGGAGGCTGAGGCAAGAGAATTGCTTGAATGTAGGAGGCAGGTGGGGAGGCTGAGGCAGGAGAATTACTTGAACCTGGGAGCTGGAGGTTGCAGCTCACTGAGATCATGCCTCTGCATTCCAGCCTGGGCAACAGAGTGAGACTCCATCTCAAAAAAAAGGAAAAGGAAATGTTATCTATTTTTATCTATCTATCTTTCCATCTATCTATCTATCTATCTATCTATCTATCTATCTATCTATCTATCTATCATCATCTATCTCTCTCTCTCTCTCTATCTATCTATCTTCTATATCTAATCTATTATTTATCTTTTCTAAGGTAATAATTATATATATTATATCAACCTCTCTTGATCTTCCTCTCCCTCCTATCATCTCCAACCTTTGGTAACCACTATTCTATGCTTCTATTAAATTCACTTATTTATTACCTTAGAAAATAAATATTTTATGTGTTTTTAAATACACATTTCCTTAGAAAACATGTATTTTAAAGTACTTAAAGTAAAAAGTAAAGTACATAAAGTAAAAATTTCACTGATCACCAATTATTTACCTCCAAATATAATATTGATATTGCTTTTGTTTATTCTTAAGTAAACTTACTCAAACTGGATATTGGAAAGATAATTGCCTAGTTCCCTTCTTCCTTTATTAATTCTCTCCCTTGGCATGTTTTCACTTTTTAAATTTTCATTTTTTATCCTTGAAATCTTCAAGGTGGTACCAGTGTGAGCAAGCAAACAATGAAAACCATTACCACATCGTAAGCATTATTTTCCCCTTCCCTTATAAGCATAGATTAAGTATAAAAATAATTCTCATAAGGAAACTGGGTAAAGCATACATTTGTTGTGGAAAAGAAGATACACAAAAGCCTCAAATTACAAATAAGCATATCTTCCATAATAGAGATTTACCTAATTTCTAAAGATAATATTCTCATATTACACCCAGTAGAGTTATGTACCCAAGAAACTGCAACAATCTGACCTTGATTTTGAAACTTAATTTCCTGTCAAGACAAAGTTATCCAGATAAGTTTTCAATAACTATTTCTATACCTGTTGGAATAAGTGACAGAGAATATAGCTAATTTCAAAGTAAAATACTGATTTCAAAGTAAAATTTCAACTGTGTTTGAGAGAGGAATTTGCTAAAAGATAAACATGTATATTCCTAGAAAAACAGTTTACCAAGAAGAAATCGAACTTTTTTGTCATTTAAAAATTATGAATATTACATATTTATGGAGTACGTATATTACTCAATATTAGCCCTATATTTAAAATAATTAGTAGCATAGCCATAGACTTTTTAATCAGCCAAACCTGATTCTGAAAACTTATTCTATTACTTCTTAACCTTGTGATCTTGATCTAAACCTATTTTCTGTTCCCATTTCCTTTTCTGTAAAAATAAGACACATATTGTAATAGATGTCTTGCAAAGATTCACAGAAAGCATTTAAACATTTCTGGTACTCCGTGAATGTTAATAAATATTAATTATTTCCCCCTCTCTATTCTTTAAGGTAAATCTTAAAGATGTAGAGTTTCCAAAGTGTTTTGGAAATAACCACTACTTACATTTTGTCTAAGTTAACATACACATACTCAGCAACTCTATAGGATGTACAAAGGCAAAAAACATATAAGACATACCCAAAAAACATATAAGACATACCTCTTGCTTCTCAAGAACATAATGACTTTTTCACCATTCACTTTGCTCTTGCCCAGATGGGGTTATTAAGTTTCAAAGATGACCTACAAGAGGCAGTAGGACATTCTGTTAAAGCATCTTTGGAATTTGTGACTTTAACTCAGAGAGAATTTTCAGAAACTGGGGTAATAATAATTCTGGAATTTGTAAAATTGAAATGTTAGGAACCAGAGACAAGTTAAATTACTCTTTAAAGAGGTGTTAAATATAGCAATATAATGTCCTTTGGGTTCAAAAGCTAGCCACAGAAAGATAAATACTGCATGATCTCACTTATGGGTTGAATCTAAAATGTCAGAAACATAGAAATATTTTAAGAATTATCTTAAGAAAGAGAGTCAGAGCAATGAGATGACTTAGCACAAATTTTCTCTACGATACTCTATTAGCTTTCTCTTAGGTGTGCTTGAGATGACGTCCTTCTTGGCTGAAGACAGTGTGTAGAACTGCTTTCCCTCTGCCTGAAATGTATTCATAATTTGAATGAATCCTTTGGGTGAAATTTCCCTATTCTATGTTGTGGACAGAATAGGAATCATGGAGATAATTATCTTGGACATCGCTTGGGGACTTCTTGTTAAAAGTTATACCAAATGTTGCATATGCCGGAAACCAGAACAGGGAGACAAGTAGAACATTATTTAAGTCAGCCCAGCATTAAAAATTAGTAAAGTTTTGAAATATACAATAAATTATTGTTAACTATAGTAATCCTATTGTGCTACTGAAGACTAGACCTTATTCCTTCTAATTGTATATTGTATTTTTGTACCCATTAACCATCATCTTCCTCTTTATCCTCCCATCTCCACCACTCTTCCCAGCCTCTGGTATTCATTTTTCAACTCTACCTCTGTAAGAGGTTTTGTTTGTTTGTTTGTTTGTTTTTGTTTTTTTTTGTTTTTTTTTTTTTGTAAGCTTCAACATGTTAGCCATAATGTGATGTTTATCTGTCTTTGCCTGGCTTACTTCACTTAACATAAAGTCTTTTTAGTTTCATCCATGTAGTTGCAGATAACTAAAAAATGGAATTAGAATGCTCCTAACACAAAGAAATGATAAATGCTTCATTACACACTGTATAGTTATATCAAAATATCACATGTATCTCACAAATACATAAAACTGTTATGTATTCATAATAGTTAAAAAAGAAAAAAGTAGTAAGGTTTAAAAAAATTCATTTGACCTATAAGCACTGAGGCAATGTCTTGTACAATCTTGATATGTAACTCTATCTATGCCATAAGATTCAATTAAGATTTTGTTTCAGTTGCAACAGAATTTGTATTCCCACTGGTGTAATGTATGACCACCAACAAACAATTATTACAGGGATGGAATGCCCTAATATATGTAAATGTTTTCTAAATAGGCAGATAATGGTCAGATGACTGATGTGTTTCCATATGTTCTATGATTGCTTGAGTTTCTCAGAGTTATGCACTGAATGTCAAGTTATTGATATATTAAGATCCAGGGGTCCCCAACCCCTGGGCCAGAGGCGAGTGCTAGTCTGTGACTGGCCACACAGCAGGAGGTGAACCACTGGGAGAGCAAGCACTACTGCTTGAGCTCCGCCTCCTGTCAGATCAGCTCTGCATTAGATTCTCATAGGAGTGTGAAACTTATTGTAAACCGCACATTCTAGGGATCTAGGTTTTGTGTTCCTTATGAAAATCTAATGCCTGATGGATCTGAGGTGAAACAATTTCATCCCAAAACCATCCCTCACTCCCATTCTGTGGAAAAGTTATCTTTCATGAAATCAGTCCCTGTTGCCTAAAATGTTGGGGACCGCTGTTGAGATCTTTAAACAAGAAAATAGATGTCAGTTTAAAATATATTTATTTTGCCCTCTTAGATTTTAAGACAGCATTCTTGAAGTCCAATTGACATATAATAAACTATCCATATTTAATATGTTCAATTTAATATGTTTTGACATGTATATAACTATTAAAATATCATTGCAATCAAGATAGACATATGCCTCAGTCCCCAAAGTATCCTATTGTTCCTTGATAACCCCTTTTAATAATCCCGCCACACATCTTTCCTCCCAAACACTAAAATGTGTTCTATTACTAATTATTTGTTTGCATGTTTTATAGTTTTATGGCATGTAAAATCTAGTATTATGTACTCTTATTTTTATGGCTTCTTTTAATCAGCATACTTATTTTGATATTTATCATACTGTTGTGTGTTAGAATGGTGCATTCCTTTTATTTCTGAGTATTCCATATGTATATACTACAATTCAGTTATTGATTCATCTTTTGAGGGACATTTGGGTGGTTTCCAATCTTTGGCTACTACAAAAAAAGCTGTTATGTTTGTGTACAAATCTCTATGTCACTTGAATACTTTTAAATTTATTGAGACTTGTTTTATCTATGATAAAATATGGTCTAACTTGATAAATATTCTGTGTGCACTTGAAAAGGAGTATTCCAATGTTTCTAGTGAAAGTGTTTTATAGTGTCATTAACTTCTAATTGGTTCATGGTGTTCTCCAGGTCAACTACAACTCTGATAAATTTTTGATTACCACTTCTATTAATTAATGAGGGAGGTATATTGAAGTGTTTGATTACATTTTTTTGGTAATCTGAGGAAATTTATCACTACTTGATTCTCTTTATAAGAAAGTTAAACAAAGGATGATAATTAGCAACATTAGAAATAAAGCATGAAACCCACTGGTAAAGGTATGTAATCAACTTCAGATGACTCTCATACTGTAATGTGGATGCACACAACTATTTTAACTGTAGTATATAAATTAAGAGAGAAAATAATTAAAAATATAGTTACACAATATGTTAACGGTTGCACAATTAAAAAAAGAGGTAAATTGTGACATCAATAACATAAAATTTGGGCTCAGAGAGAAGTATAGTAATAAATGACTACATTAGGAAAAATATGAATTCAAATAAACAACCTAACATTATGCCCAAAGGAACTAGAAAAAGAGCACACTGTGCCTAAAACTAGTAGAAAAAAGGGATAATAAAAATTAAAGCTAATTTAAATGAAATAGAGACTAGAAAGACAACAGAAAAAAATAAATGAAATTGAGTCTTTTTTTAAAAAAAAGGGAAAAAAATTGAGAAACCTTTGGCTATACCACCAAAAAAAAAAAAAAAAAAAAGTTGACTCTGAAGAATATAATTATAGTCAAAAGAGGCAACTTACTACTTATACTGCAGAAATACAAAGGATCATGAAAGACTGCTATAAGCAGTTACATTCCAACCAATTGGAGAGTCCAGAAGAAATGGATAAATTTCTAAGAAACATACAACTTGTGTTTAAAAATTTTCCCCCAAAACGCTGACTAGAAGCATTTCCAGCATGCCTCATCCACTTATATGAACCAAAATGGGTTGTAGACAATCATATTTTTAATACATTATTCAAGGAGGAACATGAGAATTCAACAGGAAACTGAAAGGAAACTTTAAAATCTAGGAAACAGAAAACCAGCAGCCACGTTGCCAAGACGTGCTGGTTATGCTGGAGTAAATCCCAGTAAGTGAAAGAGTGAGTGAGTGCCTTTCTGTGGTCCACTTTCTTACCAGGTAATCATGCAATGTAGCCCATGGAAGAGCATTTTGACCCTCCCAAATCCTGAATCTAATTTAGGGAGCAACCAGGAGATTATAAGAAGAAACTGCTCTAGGAGGTGTCACATGACCTTTTTGGAACCTGAGTGGCTACCGTAAGATGCCATTCTTGACTCTAGCTTTTAGCAAACTGTGCAGGATCCTAGAAGCAGTGATGTCATTCCTAGCCAATAGGGAAAACAGGTATTGCTTGCAGAATCAGGGCTTGAAAAGGGAATGAGCTCCCACAACTCAGCCTGAGAAGTGAGCATGGTGTGGGCTCCAGCTGCTGGCACTGGAAGTGGGAACCCCAATCCCAGCATCACTGCCCCACCCACCCTTGAGACAGTGTGGGATTCAGATTCCTGGGTGTTCCACATCCCAGTATGCCACCCGGGAAACTGAAGCACTTTTCTTGGGGAGCAG